CTGAAAATGGGAAAATGAACAAATTTGGTGATCGATTTACAACATTGCATCTTCCATTCTGAACAAGTCGATTTCTTTACGAATAATATTGAAATTGGAAATAGGTTAGAGCTTAAAATCTTGCAATTTTCACATTGTGTGTGTGTGTGTGCGTGTGTGTGACTTCTATTCCATTCTAACACTTTTTTCTAAGCATGAAGAAGGAACATGAACATTGAACTTACTGGATTTCAGGAATACTACTAAAGGAAGATACGGGAGGTCTGAAAAGGGGAAAAAGGATACAGATTATTGCGGCTGTTCATATACTACTAATAAAAGTAGGAGTCAGAGGTGCTATCTCACATGGTTGCAAATTTTCGTTTTGGATACCTCTCAAAGGCCACCATCTCCACCTTTTTGTCATTAATTATAATCCAATGGCTTGCGATGGCCTTACTTGCAGCATCCACGCTTTTAAAGGTTACCAAAGCATAACCTTTTAGGGAATTAATAAGTACCTTTTCTATTGAACCGAAATAAGAGAGTGCGGAACTGATTGATTCCTCATTAATCTTCGGAGTTATTCCTCCAATAAAAATTGTTCTTAAACCAGAAGAAGAGTCTATGGAAGATTTTGAACCTATCACTGGTAGATCATTGCAATTAGGAGAGAGCGGCGAAGAATTTGAAAGAGTTGACAATACTGGTGGTTGTCCATCGGTCAATTTCCTCGGAACATACCGAAGTAATTCCACTCTCTTGCCATCAATTTCATGCCAGTGTGTCGATAAAGCTAAATCAAATGTCGCGGGTTGTTCAAATTGAACAACAGCGAAGCCGCGTTGTGGTAAAAAGTCAAGCCTCTTTATAGGACCGAACTTTAGCAACGCCGACTGAACAGTATCTCTTGTGGAAGACGGTAGTATTCCTCCAACAAATACCCTCTTTAGATCAGTTTCTGACAAATTTGGAAAGACAGTAGTAGAAGGTGATTCTGTGGTAGGTTTCTTTGAAGACGGGCGTCTGAAATGGGAAACAAAAGTTAACATGGGACACTGAAGTCCAAAAAATGAAATAGGGAGAAAAAAATCGCTTGTCTTGAAGTTCGTAGTCACTTCGTTTAAACGAATCCAAGGTTTTCTAAATGTAGGTTACCTTAGGACAACTGTTCCATTAACACGAAATTGATATAATTTAATCGATTTCATTGAGATTAAAGATTAATGTCCCTTTCACCTCTCGTTTATTGGTCCATTGAGGCGAGTCGTCCACTTTCAACTAACCATTCAATCCACCTTTTTAAGGCTCTTTTTTAAGTGTAGCATTGACATATCAAGGGTGAAAGGACTTGGCCTTGAAGTCAGATGTCACAAGCTCGAAGATAATCGAAATACATCTAGTGAATGGAATGGCCTACAGAAATGGTTTGGAAGAGGGATGTCCTAGTTCGGGGTTTGCAACCCAAAGATCTATGATGCTATCACTTTACCCACAATTAGTGTCGAAAGGTCTTTTAAATGAGTTTTAGAGTTATTGCAACTGAGTTGCTGTAAGTACTTTCCCCTTCCCTATATGGGACAGACTAGGAATATAAAAAATTTCAACAACTTTTAATTGTAAACTGAAATTTTCACCTACGACTCACCATTTACCTGATCGCCTTCTATTAGAGCTCACATCTTAAAATCCAATCAAATCTTAATATTAGTTTCCGAATTGTCAGTAAACAAACCCATTCTACGTTAATTCAGCGTTTGTTTAGGTAAATACTGTAAACGAATGCCAAATTAAACAAATGTCATAAGTGGAAAGTAAATAAAGTGCAAGAAAAGCACTCTCAATATTAACTAAAGACAAAACGACATGGCTAAATGACCTCGATTATATTACGACCCAACCAAGATGATGTAAAAGAAGTTCGACAAGAAAGGAAAACAAGTTCCCATAAACACCATACAATTGCGTTCTCCGAGAGCCCTATCATGTAAAGAGACGGCTCATTAGCACACCTCTGGGAAACAATTCTAAGAATGACTTCATCCTTAAGTTTTCGTGAAAATCCACTCTAGTTCTCCCAAAATGGGGTTCCTTTGAGTCATTAGAAATCAGAGACAACAACTATTAAGGCTTTTTGAATACCATAGCTGAGGTAAACAACACTAAGAAAGTCGTTTATTTCATATTTGACGCATTAATACAGTGAAGGATTGAGTGCAATGCTATTGCACTATCTACTTTATCAGCGTTTCAAAAATCATTTAATCGGGAAGAATAACTTTTACTTCATGGTCTCCGACTGCTCCAAATCTTTGAAAGACGTAGGGTGATGTTAACTTTAAATATAAGAATATCTTTCTCACTGACAATCTGCCTTGGGTGTGCGATAGACTTACCTCCACGTGGGGCACCCTGGGCAATGTATACTCATACGACGAAAAAAGTTGACTTCTCACTTCAAACTACCATCACCCCACCGTATGTCGTATTGGAGCACTTTCACAGTACTCACCTTAACCTTTTCCTTCTTTGAAACACTCTTCTGTTCCCCCCTCCCCTTTCCCCTCGACCTTTTGGTACTTAGATATTCTTTCCCTCTGCGAAGCCTGAAGTCAAATAAGGGGCTAATGATAACCATCAAATGCCTGCCATTTTATATAATAATAATAATAACTTTCGAATGTTTACATTGTGGAGATACGCAGTGAGGAAGGATACTATCGGAAAATCCTGTGGATAACATCTCCCAAACATCTATCAAGTTTGAACAATTCAAATTCCTGTATTCGTCTGTCCTCAATANGAGAAACTTACTTTGAACTTCTCAAAAAGGGTTTGACCTCAATCTTCACACCTTCAATTGATTGAAATTGTTGAGCAGTCGCTAGAAGAGCAGACTCCTTCTTTGAGAAAGTTACATAACCGGATCTTCTTGAAGGTGCTATGAAAGCATTTTTAATGGCTCCATATTGGGAGAAGTGATTTTTAAATTGCGTATAGGTGATCTTCGGGATGAGTCCCCCTACAAAAATCTGATTGGAGGTTGGTTCTTCCGTACAATCAATATTATTGTTAACTGTACTATCCTCATTCTTCTCACTACAAAATAGTAATGCAATTAAGGTGATGAGCCGCACACAAAACGAAAGAGATGGATAAAAGTACCTCTAACCCCTCCCCCCTCACCCCCCACCTCCGTTGATTTGGGCAACGAAAGAAGATTAGAAAGTGATGTTGCCTATAAGTAAGGCTTTAGAATGTCACCTATTCGTCAAGTATAAAACTTTGTTTTGTTTACTTGCAATGAAGGGAGCACTTGATTGATTTTCACTGCATGTTCAAGTGCACGAATCAAGTTGCATGCATTTTTGGTCTGGCAAAATTTGCTTGGCATCTTGACACAATCATACTCCATCGATTGAATCAAGTTTTCGCTTCTTATCGGATTTTGCCTCGAAAATAACTGCAAAATGAATAGTAATTTGGCAGGAACCCAAGCTATACCCTCTGCCCTTTTATCCCTTTTCAATTGCTTTAATCATGGTCAGTTCTTTGCCAATATTTTAATTTAATAATTTACAAAATATTGCTTTAAAACTGACCTTATCGAGTTATCGGGTTCATCTTCAACTAAGGAAAGACTTTGAATAGGGTAGATAAGCTAAGAACAACAAAAAACAACAAAAATTCAACACGAAGTCCCAATTAGGTTAAGGAGAAAATAACTTATCGAAGAATAGCTTTAAGATATTTCAACCCCAAATAGATTGTCCTCATTGTCAAAATCATTGATGGTTGTCAAACATTTTAAAACCAATTTTTTAGCAGTTTTTAGCTCCCTACGAAAGATTAATAACTCGTGCATATCCATATCTGGTATATCCCTCCTTCTAGCAGTAGTGTCTTGAATTAATAGTTTTACGCTCTTAATGGTCCTTTTATGTTCAGATCCTTCTTGTGCATAAAGAGAAGCCAAGCTATCCAACTGGGCATTGGCACTATCGAGGGTTTTGTCACATGCAATTTTAAGTTCATTGGAAGCGCTTTCAAGAGATTTTTCAAGTTCTGACAAGTGGGCAGACTTCTTAACTAAGTTACTTTGAATATTTACGACATTCTTTCGAGTTTTTTTAATACCTTTCACTAATTTCTTGACTGCGGCAGCTACCTATAAGGTACACACACAGAGAAATGATTAGATCGTTAATAGACCAATAAATAGTGCGCACCTGGTCGTAGTGACTCTGACGACATGTAGGGCAAACTCGGCCCTCACAGTGTTTGCAATCACGAAGGTCTAAGGAGGGTTTCATGCAGGCGTCGCAGGTAGCAATGAGGCTTCGTTTCTCCTCAACAAGTCGCTTTGCTACTGAGGCTTCAAGATGTTCATTGCGAATTGCTTCTTTAAAGGGAAAGCCTTTGCCACAGTTGAAGCACTGTACATCCTCACCACTTCTTTGGGCCTGTAAACACGGCTCCAAGCAATATGAGTGTTGGCAAGGCAGGGTATAGGGTATGTGCAGCCTGTTAGTTGAGAAAGAACATGTTTAATTATATTAAACAGTCTTTCAATAAATTCAGGTGTATTTTCACTGTGATTCTGATTGTTTTCAATCCCGCATCCAGTGTTAGGGTATGAGCGCATCGCGATAAGAGAAGTAGGTTTTAATATTGCATCTTTCTCCATTTATGTGTGTCCCCTACTACCAATATACCCAAGCACTTGAATGCACATTCATATTCCCTAAACACCCATCCTGTTCCATCAAACGCAATTCGTGATCTATGCATTCCAACAATTTGGGTGCTTATATTACAAAGAAGAAGATATCTCAGCCAGTCATTAAAGGTAGCTCTACTGGGATTAACACTACTTTGAATATTAACTGTCATTTTTGTGGGTCATGTGTTTTTAACCTCGAAAGAGGCCACTAAAACTTACAGCTATTGTAGTTTTTGCTAGAATTCAAAAGGCAGAATGACATGAAAGTTTTTCTTTATATTTAAGTTAATAAAATTCATTTCCGCTTTTCCACATTTTGGCGTAGCCTTTAAAATTCAAATTGTTTGGACGGTCACTACACTGGTTAATCCTGTTCGCTCAAAAGTAACTAAAAGATTAAATACTAGACCATTATTTAACGATATTTTAAGGCAATTGGGGGCCCCACTACTATTCAACAAGCCTTTCCAAATAAATTATGACCTAGGTAATTAGACATTTTCAAACTCTCTAAAAGTACATCTACGTCTGTGTGTGTGCGCTTTTCGTCTATGTGAAGTTCGATGACGTAGTCGCCTCCTAACATTCATACAGCAACTTTCCTCCAAGTTTCCAGACTCCCCTTTCTACTTGAAGCGTATTTGCTCTCCCAAATAATAAACGACATTGTACACAAACACACCGTCCTCTGTGTCTGACGTAATCGCATTCACTACATTCACCCTNCGTAATCGCATTCACTACATTCACCCTATTTCTCCTCGTGATTCCTGGACATTTTCGTTTAGATAAATTCTCTTCATTAATGTCTCTTCTCTTCCACATAACCATAGTGAAGTTCGTTAGAAGGTGGAAGGTTTATCCCGTTGATTAGCTGGTGGGATAACCAAATACTTAACAATCACCTTTTCCTTTGAAAGTGACTATATCTAAATTAGTGAATCTTCTACTAAATTATAGAGTGTTGCGTCCGTTTTATTTTCGATGCCCGATTTAGTATAACCAATTTCAAATATAACTTTCTAAAGTGTTAGATTTGTTAACAGCGTTAACGAAAAAGGCATGTTTCAATAAAATTTAAAATAATGTCCTCATTTTGGCAAAATCCAAGATAAATGTAGCATCTTGCATTGAAATAAGCGAGAAATCACTTACAAATTCTTGCATACGCTGCAAATTAGATCATTCGATTGTCCTGAAAGCTCGGATTGCATGCAGACACAAACCAACTCGACTATAGAATCCACTGCGCTATAGATAGCAGAACACCATTTTTCCGCATTGGTCAGCATAAGCTGTATCGTCATTTGTCCAAATATTTCACTTACTCTGTTTTGATTGGTTTCTTCAAGGCTGCGATTAATGCAAACATGGAATGGTTGATGTGCGCTAATGCTTAAGAAGACAACAATCGATAATTTTCAGTAAAATAAGGTGGCTTAATATTACCTTTCAACTGTGTGAAAAATGAATGAAATCATTCCCAGATAATTGAATTACCAATTTGCACTGACATTTTTCTTTGGTGCCTAATAAAACTCCGAAATAGTAGAAGACAATAGCAAAGCATACACTTGAGACTTTCCGTTGAATTACGTGGTCAGGACGTATACTTGGAGCTTTTACAACTGCTAGGTCCACTTAAGTTCCTCACAAATACACAGACATATGAAAGTGTGGCAAGTAACAGATTAAGTAAATAGGATTAAAACAAGTGAAGGTCGATACCTTTAAGACGATACACAGAAGCCACTAGTAAATAAGATGAAATTATTTAATCTTCACTGACCACCTCTTAATTTGGTATTTTTGAGTTAAAATGAAGGTTCATGTATGGGGAGGACTTTCAAGTAGAAACGAATAGCTACTTGAATTCCCCGTCCCCAGAAAATAAGGAGAAAGACCTTGAAACTCTTTCAATTAGCCAATCCGAAGGCAATTTGTTTAATTTAATTCATGATTTCGATTCTAATGTGTGACTTGTGATCTTTACAAAGCACTATCAGATTTTAAACAATAGTGAGTCCAGAAGTAAAGTGTCAACTTTTAAGCCTAATGAAGTTATAAGCAATTTAGCACAAAGATGACTGAGGCATCTTAGCTTGATCTCGTTTGTAAAGTATGCGATCAATTGTGAGTTTTGACATAATATTTTGAACATTACCTATTCTAATTATTTTAAATGTAATTCAGGAATTTTTTCTTTATTATGTTGATGAAATCAAGTTTACTTCAATCAACTATTGAATGCCCCCATTGTATGAGCATTTATTCCCAAATAATGACTAAATAAGCACCGATGATAGTTAATCTTACCCAGAGAGAAAAAAGAATATTCTGGTAAAATTATTTATTTATATTTATTTCAAATGGCAGGCTTTATGATATTTATCATTAGCCCTTAATCTTTGACTTCAGCTTCCCCAAGAGGGTGGGGGGGGNGGGGGGGGGGGGGGGGGGTACATTTATAGCAGTTAATTCATAGCAATTCATTAGCTGTCTCCTTGCTTCCCAGTATCTTTGGCTTTGCGTCCTTGTCTTTAGGGCTGGACACCGAATCAGGTGTGTCTTCTCCATTTCCTCATGTAGGTTACATTGGGGACATGTGGGTTGAGTGTATACTCCCAATCTGTGAAGGTGTTTTGCCAAGCAATCGTGTCCGGTGCGTAGTCTAAACTCAGCAACGGCTTCGATTCTTGGCCAGTCAGCTATGTCGGAGAGTGCCGCTGTCCACTGTTTCTCCTTTGTTCGAGCTTTACGTTCATTGCACTTTGAGGTATGAAATTCTCTCCTGATTAAGGCCTTCATTGAGTGGAAAGACA